TGCTTTACACAACTTGAGTTTCAACAGTGCCTCAGAAATCTAAAAATGGAAAACGTTACAATATTCTTCACATTTTTAGTACAAGTAGTAGGTGAATACAGTATTTTCTATCAAAGTTACAAAAATTTTGATATCCATTGAAACATACATCGAATTTTAAACATTTTGTACTTATTTTCCCCTACATGCTTTACCAGTCATCAGTTTATCATCAAAGCCAATTGAATAAGTTAATGTAGTTTAGGTGAAATCAAAGTTAGCAAGTGAGTTACAACCAAATAAGTCTGGATGGGACTGTTACCAGGGATAAAACTATTAACATGGCTAGAGAAGCTGACTACTGTACATCTGAAGAGTAAACTGTTTTGTTAGTTGTGAAATTCAGATCTACAGTACAAATCCTATAGCTGCAAGCTATTTTTACTGATTTTTTTTGTCTATAAGATTAATAATTGTTCATCCTGCCATTCCAGCCAGTTGACCTGACATCAACTTTTTTTATTAGCTGGACAGTGTAGTGACACACTCCCACTTCTCCTCGCAATCAGTGATGTCAGTTGCTTTCACAAGTTTCTTAAGAACTACTTTTTTACATCAATAACTTTATCCAGGCATGTCAGTGATTTCCAATTCCAACAAATATTTTTGCTTTGAAAGAGCTCACTTTTATTTTAGGTTAAATCCTTCATGATCTGAAAGTATTTTTGCACTTTGTTGTGGAAATCAACTCAATATATTGTAGTTTTCTAAACAGCTTCTTCATATCTCGCAGTCAAATGCCCCAATTTGTGCCTTATACCACTGAGTATTTTGGCCTGCCAAGAAACAAAACAAGCATCTGTGATTGTTCTTAGAAATCATGGGGTTTTTCTCATGCTCTGATATATTGTCTCTCTGAAAATGATCAGCAGATCAGTCTCTGTGGTTTTCAGAGAATTGTTTGTGAGCGTGCTATGCAGAAGGAATAGGGGGAGACTGAGAGATTTGTGACCAGTACAATCAATGGGCTGTTGAAGGACTTGGATTACAGTAAGCGACTGAGTGCTTCTTCCTGCACTTCTTTTCCACTTGTTTTTGTATTATTTGTACTGTAGGCTGATTCCTAACTGATTTGTTTTAGTTTACATTGAATTCACATGGATGTAAGTAATTGCCCCCATTTCCTATTTTTATATCCAAGCTCATACACACACACCTACAGAGCTAGATAAGACTTTCTTCTGATTCTGGGTCAGATAATTGCACTGAGCTTTTCATTTGTCAGTTGGGCAGATCAACATCCTGAAGCTGATGCTTTTCTGCTGATCCTAATAGCTGCTGGGGATTTTTGCTGATTTAACTTAAGATTTTTTTGTGCTTGGACTATAAGGTGTCACATGCAAGTCAACACACGGGTTAATATGTTTATCATTCTGTCACAAGCAATTGACCTAACACCAACCCCACATATAATGTTCATCTTAGAGGATGTTATTTCTGTATACAAAATCATGTATTCTGTTAAGACACACTCTGGTTTCTAAACTACACTGAACAATAATATGAAACATGACCTTTTTCTAAGGGTTTTAAGTTTTATTTTAACTTCCTTTAGGTGTTTAGTAAATTAATTATTTTTGCAATAATAACTTTATTAAATAATATAAATATATTATATATTAGATATATTATAAAATTATATCTTTATAAAAATCAGAGCATTCATTTTAACAATTTATAACTGGTACAGTGATTTAAGGGGTTTTAATATAGTGAAACAGAAATTGTAAAAGTAAATTATGAGAGTGCTTTGACCACTGCTATTAATTGTTGATACAGATTATTTGCAGTCTGTTGAATTTTGTAAACAGTCCATACACAGTGGTCTGCTTGGGTCAGGCAGCAAGCAAGATGGATGGGAAAATCTTGGTTTGTCCCCGTTACAGTTTTTTACTGAATATGCTCAGACTTTCAGAATGTCAACAAAAGAGTCCAACTTATTCTTTACACCTAATTCCATTGATTAAGTGAAAATATTATGGGGGGCAAAACACAAGATTTCTTCTGCTGCAGAAAGCATACCTTTGGCAGTATTCTGTTCTTGACTGACTCAATTTATCAGCCTGACATCTTGAACAAATTTGAAGTCCTGACTCAGAATGCTTGCAGTCAAGTGGTTGGTAAAGTCGCAAGATGGAGAGAAAAGAGTAAGCCAGAAACTATCCAACCTAAGAAATTGTGCACTGTCATTCAAACTAGAAAATCGCAGTTGTTGATTGGTTAGGATTTCATCAGGTATTATCACGATAAGCATCCTGCAGGTTCCTCAGTGACCTCTGACCCTTTGTCTTGGGCAAAACGAAGGGTGTCATATTAAAGGGAGCCAGACTGGGTTGGTTTGAGAATCTCCTGCACTGTGTCAGACTTTGGATGTTGCTTCTCAGAGAAGCTCTTTTCACCTGCATTAATACTGAGAGCCCTAATCTGCTAAATAATGGTCTCGTGAAGACCACAGAAAGATTATTTGAAATCTTAATTCTCAGTGTAATAATATGACCTGCCACTGCACAAGTATTTGAGAAACAGAAACAGAATAAAAGAGTTGTGAAATTCGTCTGTTTAATCCAAGATAGTGCCTTGTAAAAGTATTCACCCCCCTTCGATTTTGACATTCTGTTGTGTTACAGCATGGAACCATGACGTGTTTAACTGAGAATTTTTGCCACTCAGTAAACACAAAGTACTCTATGGGAACAAGTAATAGGTTTATTTCATGCTGAAAAAAAGAAGAAAACACGTTTCGGCCATGGAGCCTTCTCCACACCCGAAGAAGGCTCCATGGCCGAAACATTGTGTTTTCTTTCTTTTATCAGCATGGAATAAACCTATTACTTGTTCCTTTGCAGCCTACGTATGCTGATGCAGCTACCGACCTGAACTACTACAAAGTACTCTATAATGTAAAAGTTTTTAAAAATCCAGATATTTTACTAAATTAATCAAAAATGAAAAACAGAAAATAATTGAATGCATAAGTATTCACCCCCTTGCTTTGACACACCTAAATTACCTCTGAAGTAATCAACTCTCTTCTTCAAGGCACATAATTACTTGACTGGAGTACACCAGTCAATGGAAGTAATTATAGGAACAATGTATCTCAACTTGTTACTCAGAAATGGAAAAGTTAATAAAAAATATAAAGTATAAAAAGTAAATAAGGCTGATAGGTAGTTAGCATACTGGTGCACTTTGGCTGCTGTTGCATTACCCAGGTGGGGGCTACACATTGGTAGTGGTGAAAGGGAATCCCTATTACCTGTAAAGCACTTTGAGTGGAGCGTCCAGAAAAGTGCTTATATCTGGTAAGGATTATTAAACAAATACTTTTTACCTAGTGACAACTAAACAAACATGCATGTCCTCTTTAAAAAAGACAAATGATAGATTTTATTGTTTCTCAAACATTATTTTGCACCATTTTACAATTAGTCTAGACATTCAACATTTATTCAATTACAGTATGCCCAATGTGTTGCTAAGAACAAAACTGTATATAAAAATATCAAAACTTTCACAAAACATTTTATGTAAAAATAATATCGACAACATAGCCTTATTATTCTCTTTTGAGAAGGAAAATGGAATGATGTTAAGTATTTATAATATTGGGGGTTTATGATTCATTAAATGTTACCTTCAGTTACTAAGAATTCAAAGGGGTAAAAAACAAAAACCAAAAAAAGTTACTTTTTCAGAATTTAATTATGCTTAACCTTAAAAATTTAACTGCTCAAGGTTGCAAAGTTATTAAAAGTTTCTGTCATTTTGAACTCTTTTCACTATTATGAACATATGCTCTTGTAATTAACATTTTTAAATGCTTTATTTTACACAGTGCTGCTCTGTCTAACTACGCCTACATTTCTTAATGATCACAGTATTAAAATCATGACAAGTCATGAACTTGAATCACCAAATTAAGATAAAATATGTGATGCTCCAGTCAGCTGAAAGTTTAGAGCACGTCAGTTAGTACCACTAATAGTGAAAGAAAGATAATAAAAACAAGTGTGGGAAGGTGGCTGGTAATTCCACCTGAAACCATGTACTCTTGATTCCAACCTTTAAACCATGGGTTAAAGAATTGTCACATGTATTAGAGGAGAATGACTAGTGTGGATATTAAAACAGCTGTAGAGCAGAAGGGAAGTTACTATTGAAACTCCAGCACATGCAATTGTGCAGTATAAAAACAGTAGAAGATAACAGAAAGAAAATAGTTTTATTCTTATAATATTTTATAAGACATTTTATAAGAGATTTTATATTTTCTTTTTGGATTAGACATCCCACTAAGAAAAAAAGGTAGGGGAATTTCACCTTTTTGTAGTTGGACAGTGGGAAAACAAGATCCCTCAAGCCAGGATATAGGAGCTGAAGCCCAGCTTTTCACATAAGATATGTCAGGGTTAGTGTTATTTCAGCAGATCTGCCACTAGAGGTCTAATAAAATTTGCACATGGGTGCAAATAGGTATGGCATATACTTATGCTGCACAGTGAAAGTTGGTGTTGGGTGTTTGTGAAGAGCAAGTCTTTATGTATATTTGTGATGACCGAAAAAAGATTGCTTACCTCATGAGCAACCTTAGTTAGGCTCAGGCCCTTTCACACATGGGCATGAAACTATTATATAGTTCAGTAAAATAGCAGAAACATATCCTGTTACTTAAAAAGCAAAGGACTACAGCATTTTGCTATAAATTGATATTGTCGCCCCAAAGGGTATTAAGCTGGCATTGAACATTTTTTGTTAAGGTAAACAAACAACATTACTGAAATCATAAAATTATACAAGAGACTCTTTATGTAATCTGTTATTTGAGGTGCTTATTTGTTTCATGATATCAGCAAGTTTAAAACTTTGAATTATAAATGCAAAACATTTTTTAAAAATAACTACAACATTAAAAACAAGATAGCGCTTACATTCACAAAAATATGCACATATTTTTTCAATCAAGTTAAAAATACACTTTCCCATTCTGATATTTAATTGAAATGATGTAATTTGCATGTAAAATACATTAATGACATTATTTCCCAAAGGGTATAGTTTTATTGGGGGGGCTCCAAGGAGGAGGTGGCTCATCTTGTAAAACAGCACGAACCTTTCTTTGCTTTCTTTCTCTTTTTTCTTGTCTTTCTTTCTTCTCCTGGAAGAAAAATAATGATTTGAAATGTTTATGTACACGTTTTGGGAAAGTTGCAAAACTTGCTCACAAGGTACCACTTTTCACACTTCTCTGAAGTTACAACACAAGTTATATAACCTCCCATCAGCTAGAAGACTGCAGAAACTCAGAAGACAGCTGCAGTACTTATTCTTTTGTAGAATTTAGGCAGATGTATTGGGTGTAACCACTATAGTTGTTTGGATGACTAATGAACATGGACAATTGAACATTAGAATACGCATTCTGTGACTGGTGCTGTACTATGTATGTATGCCCTTAAATAGTTAAATATATGTTTTGTGTCTTGACAGTTATGGTAACACAAGAGATTGGCTGGGTCTGTACTTGCATTAAGAGACCTTCAGATTCAGAGACCTTGAAACAGACCTTTCTGAATAATTGTTTACAGAGAAGACATTAGGAGAAGATACATTTGTATTCCTCATTTTAATACGCTCAGGAAAGGCCTTTTGATAAGAATAAAGTTGATTCAAAACTTCACTGAGCTGCACTGTGCACCCTTCCGCGTTTAAACAAGCCTAAATGAGGAAAAGAGGAACTCAAGAACAGAAAAGAGAAGAAAGCTGTGTCAAAAGAAATGTAAATAATGTTGAAATCATGGTAGTTCAAAATGTTCTGAAGACATAAGAAACTGTGAAGCAGGACAGTGCTCTGGAAGAAATGCCTCCTGCAAACAAAATGATTCTCTGGAACTACTTGAAATGAACATTCTATGTGGACACCACCACAGGATGATGAACAGCACTTTCTGAACAGCAGGTGTATTGTAATGTGCATAAGAACATAAAAAAACCAGATGCAATTCCAACAATCTATCACATTTGGTCACCAGTTCTTCCTCTGGATTAATTCCAAAGAAGCAATAAATTATATTGTAACATGATGGGCAACATTCCAATATTCTCAGATCTTTTGCCTTGTAAAATATAACATTTTTGGTGCAGTGTGTCTATGCTAACGTTTTGCCTTTTTGCCTATAAATATGAAAATGATGTCAAGATTAATACCTAATTATTTTTGAGAGATTTTTCATGCACAAAAATAAATGGTATTTGATTTTGCACTCATCCTCACTGACAGTATTCTACACTGTTACTAAATTCATAGAAGGTGACCACCACAAATCTATATTTAAATACACTTCACATTATACAGCTTATCACTGTTTCTATTTTAGAACTTGTACTTAAGTCACACTGCAATACTCAGAATATTTTTTTTCATTTTTGTTCCTATTTTCTGGTGTACACTGACAATCATTCTTAAAATAGAACTTTCCATCCATCCACTTTTTAATCACTTCTTCCAATCCAGGGCACAGGGGGGCTGAAGCCTATTCCGGCAAGCAGCAGGCACAAGGCTGAATACACCCTGGATGGGACACCAGTCTATCACAGGGCAGACCCACGGACATGTACATACTAACACCTACTGTAGGGCCACTTTTCTCTGAGGAAAAAAATATTTCAAACATCCAAATGTTATTAATGTGCTACTTTTATCTTTTTATCATGTTATTAATAAGGGAATTACAAATACATAAAGACATAACATAATCCTTGGCGTATCTTTTACAATTTGGGTGTTATAATAACTGATTATCCCACTCTGTATTTTGTATTTTCTTAACCCTGTCTATAGACAACAGTTATATAGTTAAAATATAAAGTGTAGGACCTCTAAAACTCATACATTTAAATCGAACAGGCTGCTATAAAGTTTTATTTTTCAAAGGATGATAACAACAAACAAAAGTATACTCCTGAAATCTCTCACTTTCTTGTAGTTAATTGTGCTGGTAATATTCTTATCACCCTTACTGTAATTTCACAAGGTTTATAAATATAATTGCACATACCAGCCATTTTTCATACATTTCTAACGCCATCTTTTCTTTCTCTTCCTTTTCATATTTTTCTTCTTCTTTTTGAACTTTTTCTTGTTGTCTCTCCTTCTTGAGCTTCTTAAGGATAACTTCTTTTTTTGTCTCATTCCTAGGAATTACAAAAAGATACAGATTGTAAATGTGATGGAATAGATACCGTACAGGTAGTTCTTGATTTACTGAAAATGTGTACATTTTTGGTTTTTAAGTTCCACAAACATAAACTGTATATACCGTTTTTTAACTCAGGACAAATTACTTTTTTACTCCGTTTGACACACTGGATCACAGGCAGCAACAGATAGCTTCTTGAGTGTCAGAGACCATCCACACTACACGGATCCATTCGCACACTGGGATTGATCACTTGAATGGCAGGCTGCTGGGCAATCTTTATTTTAATGTTCTTCAAGCCTCCAAGCATTTCCCATCATCTCATCCTTACTAAATACTATCTACAAAATTTGCAGTGGCACTGTGGCTCTGTGCCTGTGGCTGGAAGGTTGCTGGTTCAAATCCCGTGGCTGGCAGAGGAATCCTACCCTGTTGGGCCCCTGAGCAAGGCCCTTAACCCCAACTCCTCCAGGGGTGCTGTACAATGGCTGACCCTGTGCTCTGACCCCAAGCTTCTTTTCCTGTCTGTGTCTCATGAAGAGCAAGCTGGGGTATATGAAAAAAATGAATTCCTAATGCAAGAAAATGTATATTGCTAATAAAGTGATCTTATCTTTACTGCACCCATCTAACATATACTTCATGTTGATTCCCTCTTGTAAGACTTGAAAGAAATACTATTTGAAATAAAACTGGCCTTTCCCATGTGACTGTAGTCTTTTTCACCAGGTCCTAAGGAATGTTTACCTTGATTACTTACACAAGTAAAGATTACTGAGACACTAGATTTGAACATAATGCTTTTTGTTCAATTATAGGATCTATTAAAAATATCTACATTACAGATATCATTTAAGGCATACATTTACAACCAGTATAACTTGAGAAAAAAACAGTTGAATGTAAAGTTTCTTCCTGTTATTTTTTATTTTAAATTTTACTTCCCTATAAAACCAGCAATGTCTGATACTCTTTTTTAAGAGGTGGTATGTATAAGTTGTGAATTTTTTTTTCTGCTGTATTTCAATGATTTAGCATTTACTTTATGTAATTTTTGTACATTGCTCTGAATCAGGGATTCTGCAAAGCAAATAAATCATAATGACATAATCTCTTGAAGCAAGAGATTTTTTATGTCAAGAAATGGCTAGATGAGATCCTCAGAATAATTCGTTAGTAAAATCCAAATGGCCTCTTCTTAGGTACTGTAAGTTCCTAATGTTCTTGTATTTTATCTACAATTCGTCACATATCTACAGTTAGTTTTTTCACTTTCAGTTTTGTAAAGAAAGAAATGCAGCATATTTATGCTATTGTGTTTAGACCTTAACAAAAACTACAAAATAAGTATGCAAAGTGTACTGAAATTGTATGAATCATTGCATTGTAGCAAAGCCTTTTACAATTACATTTCAGTTTCTTTGGGAATTATCTTCATTCATTATCTTCTTTAGTAAGAGATGGTATAGTAGGGAGCTGTTAAGTCACAACAGAATACATCTTTATTTGCTATTACCATTTTGAAAATGTAGCGTTACAGTCTCTTTTCCTCTCTTCCTTCTCCTCCTCTTGTTTCTGCTTCAGTTTTTTTTCAGCTTGTTTCTGTTTCATAAATTTCTCTTTAAGATGTTCATCTTTTTCCTCCTTCCACTTCTCAAAAACCTAGAAAGAAAATAGAAACACATAACACTAATGAACTTAAATTAATTAAATGCAAACATAATGTTAGAAATACAAGCACAAATGCTTACTGTTTATGAACCAGCTTGGGTGTTTAATGCAATATAATGCAATAACTATAAAATTCAATACAAAAACATCAATCTTGAAAAGAAAAGTTACTATGAATACTAAATACATACTTTAGATCTACCTACAAAGACACAAAATTGTTTTCTATAATGAAATTGTATGCCAAACAGTATGAAACTCTGCCAATACCATTTTGTAAAAAGATTTTCGCTATTTTTTCGCTATGTACAGAGCAGTGCTGAACCTCACGTAAGTTTATTTTGGATTTAGAATGACTGGACCTCCAGCTAAAATATAACCCAGCCTGTTTTGGGCTCTCAACGAGCACCTTGATTTCTCATGTCATTCAAAGTTCTAAAATTCAATTTATGTAGGTAAAATGCAGGCACAGTACACCAAATATAAAAATAAAAAGAAATATATTGTAATAAATACGCCCCTGCGCATAACAGGGATGTTGGCTGCCCAGGCTGAGGAAGGTCTTCTTTAGCTCAGCCGGCAAGACCCCTGTTGAGCGATGCCAGAGACCTGGGTTTGAGCCCATGCTGTGAGTGACAAACTGGGGTGGGAGCGGCGAGGGCACAAGCCCAAGAATCCGATTTTGCTACATAGATACATTCAAATATTATTTTTCACAACAGAATAAAACAGAAAGCAGAGAAAATCCTAATATACTCGGAATGTTGGTAGAGTATATGCACCACTAAAGCAGAAATAAAAGAAAGCAAAATCAATGTTTGGGAGATCACATAACAGGCTCACTGGGATTAAAAGCCAAGCCTAGCATTCCTTTCCCTGGACTCTCTTTATTGCTGTCAATTTGTAGTTCTTTTCTATGTGCTTTTGCCTCTGGCTTTATCTGAAATAGCAGTGGCCAGAAAAAGATGGACTCCTTTTCCATTTGCTCACAAATTACAGAACTGAAAATCAAGTTGGCTTCCCTAGGGCATTCAAAACAGCTGTTTTTCTGAGGCTACTGCACTAAAATTTACTATAATGAGAAAATAATTTAATTTTTGCTTGGACATCATGGCCAATTTCTTATATGTGCCACTTACTAGCTTTGAAACGTTGCAGTAAATGCTATGCAGATACACAGGTATCTGCTTTTCCGTATCTCATGTAGATAAATGTCACATTTACTATATTTTAATCTAAGTGATAGTTTGGGTATGCAGTCTCATGATAGAGATAGGAAGTATCTCTAATTACTTAGCTAGTCTTGCTCCAGTATAGGCAGCTGTGCTGAAGGAGCCTATATCTGTCTGAGCTAAAGAAAGACGTTCAGGACATTACAAGCAGTAAGTCTCCTGGCATTAATGATATCCCTCCTGACTTTCTTGCCCTAATTAAGCGCTCTTTAGCTAGGCATAATACTTCAGGTCATCGAGAAAGGTTCTTTTCAAAGGGATATTAATATTGCACTACATCCATATTAAAAAGATAAAGATCCTGCTCTCTCCACAAGATATTGGTCCATCTTACTGATGTATTTAGATACCAGGCTATATGATAAGTTGCCATCACACCAGCTGGAGGTCTACATGACAAATCTAGTTCACTATGATCAGATGGGCTTTTCATTAAAGGGCATCTGGACTCTGATAAAGTTTGCCATCTTCTTCATATTTTACATACAAATACAGGCATTTGCTCCCTTGTTCAATTTTTCATTAGATGCAGAGAAGATGTTTGATCAGTTTGAGTGGGAATACCTATGGTAAGTTCTGCATGACATGGTCTTGGGATCAGGTTACACTACTATGATAAAAAAAATACATGGTAACTCTTAACTGTAATGAAATTAATACACAACAAATGTTCTCAATTCACTATTCCTAGAGGCATTTAGCAGGAATGCCAATTTTAACCTTTGTTCATATTGATTTGGAACCTCTAGTTCTACCTATTCAACAATTTAATGTTTCAAATGATATTGCTGTTAATAATGCTCAGTTTTGTATTTTGCTTTATGCAGATGGCACAGAGCTATATTTATGCCTCTCAGGTCTTGCATCATCTGCTAACTATTGTCAATAATTTGGGGGGCTTTATCATGATATGAAACAAATTGGTCCAAATCTGCATTACTTCTAAACCCTGCAGTGTACCTTCAGCTGTGCCATTGATCACTTGAGAATACCTTGATATTGAGATTTGTTCTTCTTACAGACCTTTAGAACACACAATTGTATAACATTTTAAAAGGCTAAACACTACTGTGAACAGATGGACTCCATTATGATGAATGAATGTGTTCTATGATTATCTTCTTTTCCTATTTTGAAATTCATATGGAAAGGGAAGCAACCACATATTAAATTCGCCTCTCTGCTAGTGACAGATTTCAAGGAGGCCTGCCTTTACCACTGTGCCCTTGAATTGTGTCCACTGATTGATTATACCCTGATATTCCTCTTATCTGGATATCCACTTGAAGAAAGTCTAGTGTCGCCATTTACTGTAGGTATCAAGATTTGATTTATTTGGGGTATCTCTTTGATATTGTAGGTTATGTTTTGGCCTGATAATTACAAAATTAAGGTTTGTTGTCCAGTGAAAAGAATACAAAATCATGCCAATTCTCCTGTTAAGAAACAAAGCTAGAAGTAAATTTATAATTTAGCAGAAAGATGATGGTCTTTGTTCATTTCAGCATTTGCAATCACAGCAGGATTACTTACAGGCTCTTCTTTATGTATTTATTGTACATCTCTGTTCTGCAAAGCATACCTATGGTGTCCTTTGGTGTGCAAAGTTCTATACACTAAATGAATAATATGTTTTACATAAAGGCAAAAGCAGAGGGATTAGCTTCCTTTATTTTTATAACAGGCTTCATATAAGCCCTTGGAAATAGTTAATATCTGCAACGGAGAATTAAATGTCACAGGTGAAGACATACTCCACAATAATATTTGGGATAATATATATTCTGTGTCCAGAAATACAAACTGTTGAATCTTCTTAAATTTCTTCCAGAGTGTATAAACCCCCTTGTGACTGGTATCATAAGTATCATTTTGGTTAATTATGGTATGTATGTACTTGTTTTGGGAGTATCCAGAATTGGTTAGTCTTGTAAAAAGCTCCCTTCTGGTTTTCCCTTATTCTAAATTGAGATTTCCCCTGTTCGTACTTGGTACCCTCAGATGATGAGGGTTCTACTCTAGGCCTCTCGCTGTGACAGAAACGTATCTGGATGGCGAGTCAGACTATCGCTAAAATGGAGCTGGTGCTGCGTCGGGAGCCTCTGCATTCCCTCTCTTGCAGCACTGGATCCAGGACTACATTGGTATAAATTATATTACTTCGGTCTACTTAAATCCATGGTGCTGGTTCCATCGTTTAATCACAAAAAATGAAAACAGGAAAGATTAATTTCATTACTGCCTTTTTTGCTATTTCCTTTCGCTCCACTTTCTCTTCGTTTTCTTTTTGTTTTTTCATGTCCTCTTCTTGTTTTGTCTTTACTTTAGCTTTAATATCTTCTGTTTTCTTTTCTTTCCAAGCTTGAAAGGAGGTCTTTGCCTCCTCCTTTTTATTCAATTCTTCCTATAAAAAAGATTATATCAGATTAAAAAAAAAATTCTATATCTTTTACAAACAGATTGGAAACCTAATGAACCAGAGAACACAAGTGGAAAAATACTGGAAGTACATTTAATAATGAGAGTAGAATGCATGACTTTATGCACTATATGTAGCTTTATAGCTGTGGAGAAATGGCTGGAGAATTCTGTATCTATTAACTACTAATCTTATTTTACCATTAACTCATCAGGCACAAGGAGATGTACTCTTTCAAAGACCCTTCAAATGATAAAATAAATACAATTGCTAAGCAAAAGTACCAATATATTCCCTTTATTTTGTATTAAGTTTCTTCTTATATTTTAACTTTCTATTCAACAAGCGTAAATCCACAAAGCCTTTACACTACTACTTCAATATTTAATACTTTTATTGTACTTTGTAAGTTATACTGTTACAGCTATAGGTGACTAGAAAGTTTCTCTAAAAATCTAGATGAAGTGGGAACACTGGGCAATGTTGGGAAGCAAATGGGATGTTTTCTGAGATGTAGGGTGTCCAGAATCTGTAATCGAAGCAATCAAAAAGTTTATCTTTGTTTACTTTAGATAATTAAATTCTGGGCAAATTATTAAGTGTCAATCAACAGTCCAGAAAGACACCACATAAAATCAAATCAAGACAGAGAAAAGTGGGAGAGAGACCACAACAAAGAGAGGAGACAGGAAGAGAGAGACCTTGAAAAAATAACCTAAACCTTAATGGTGTTCCTGCTCCCTCTGCTGGCATTCCATTTTATTTTTGGGACTGAAATTATTAAAGGTCTTAATGATAACATAAACATGAAGCACATTCAGATGAACTCTTACCAGATAATACACTGGGTAAAAGTATCTCCACATCATCAAAAATTAATATGTTCCAAAGACATTTCCATACCTCCTTTTTCTTCTCTTCCTTATGCTTTTCCTCCAGTTTCTTAGTTTTTAGAGTTGCTTGTAAAATTTGTTTTTTCTTTTTTAGCCAGTCCTGTAAAGAATGTTTTTTTTCCAAATGTTGATAAATAACTACATTACTTGACGTTTTGTCAGTAAAGTAATTTGTTTGAATTCTGTACATGTAAATTACATGGTGACTCCAGGAGATAAGGAAAGTAGGTAATTTACCTTTATTTATTTTGGGGCCTCAGTAAATATATGCTCATTGTTTTACAAAGAATACAACCAAATTCTTCTTAGTTTTGATGCAACGAAAATCTAAATCTGATGACTATTTTTTCAAATAATTTATCTTTTTAGCAAACACATCTCTCAATATTTGATCAGCTGTACTAGTTTTATCCACATATTAAAAGATTAATAAATTAAATAGAGGCTGTAACATTTACACAGGAGCGAATATAATAAATCTGTGTACAACATTTTTAGCAAGCTATTCAATAATAATACAACTATAATTGTCACAGAAACCTAAAGCCTATAAAAATATGAATTATATCAATTATTTTTTTCAGGAATGAAAAACTTGATTTAGAATTTTATAGCTTGAATAAAGAAACAAGCTTTGGAATAAAGAAATCAGATTTTGTAATAAACAAAAATACATTCTAAGTGAAGAAATCAACATTCCTACTTGGTAAATTATAGCCCGGAGAGAGTCAGCTGCTTCAGTGTGAATCTCCTTTTGAGAAGTGCATTGGTCTAAAACTTTTAGTGTCCCCAGGTAACGAGATTCAGTTGTGTATGAACAAAGGTTTTGTTGCTTTTTGCTCTGTGAACAAGAACTTAAAGACCTGAAATTAGATGCAATTTAAAACATAAAATGTGTAAAATAAACATGCAAATAACAATTGTCACTAAAATTAAAGTTAATCTAATGTATTAAATAAATATTATGTACATTTATTGGGATGTCCACTTTACTTAACAAAGAGCAAGACTGTTTAACTTTTTAACATCAAGTGACTTGAACAGAATCTTTCTAGATATTTGGTGTCTCAAAGACAAAATATATTAGATATTTTCATTACTCCTTATTCAATCCTACTTAATATAAAATTATAATTTCACCTCTCTGAGTATACAGTTTTCTGAGTAATTCAATTCTCTTTAGCTCATATAAAACAAAATGGAATTGTCTTGACCAAAAGCTTTACGGTCTGGCTAAGAAAATATAATTTCCTATATTGTGATAGGAGACAACCTTTCCTAACCTTGGATGGCAAAACTATGTTCTTTAGAAATGGGCAATGAAAGAGAGATCAGAGATCACACAAAAGTGACCTGTTATCAGATGGTTTTTCATCAGCTGGACTTGCTCCATCCATATCACCATTTGGCTCATCCTCAGCTTCTCCCTAGTCAGTAAAACATATTACCACATTATTTAATTAATTTATACCACAAGGGTAAATGTCTAGAAGTAAGAAACAATATGTAAAGAGAGTGGGCATGAGGAAAATACAGCACATGCTCCATTCCAGTTCTAGTCATACCAATAGTTTGAAATAATGGAATTACAATTGCTTATGCTGCAGAAAATATATGATAGATACTGCAAATTAAACGTAGGCACAACATCTTGGTGTGTTCTCTTATTTATAAGAAATCACTGCAATTGTTGATGGATTGTATGTTGTCTAATTTATCATACTGTAGTTAAAAATAAAATATTTATACTGGACAGATTTCAGCTCAATTAAATTTAAAGATGCACACATACAAAATGTACATCTGTAATTACTTTTAAATGGAAAGTTGATGTAAATCTGGATTAAGAAAATGGGAATGTAGAGTACTATGAAAAGCTGTGATTATGAAGTTAAAATAGTTACATAATTAAAAATATCTGTGCCTTTACAGCAACAGATTCAGTGGTTTCAACCAAAATATTTCACATTTCACACATTTGTGTCTTCAAGGAAATAACTGGATAGGTTAAATAATAAGTATTAATAATTTGAAGCCTAAAAACATGATGTCTGTAATTTAAAGAAGTTACTATGAACTATGACCTTTGCTCTATTAACAAAATAAAATATAATCAAGCACTGCAATAAACAAAATCATACACACATGAAAATATAATACTTAATTTATAAAAAATATACTAATGTAGTATAATAGTTATTAGGATCTCATTAAGATGCAGTGGGTCTTATCTTTAGAACCAATTTAAGCCACATTCACTTTAGTCAAGTACTTTTTGGATAAACCTGACTAAAATTATTGACCAAACTTTAGCTAACACCCACAAGACTAAAAATACGAATATTGCTAATGAAAAACTTGCCATTTTAAATCCTAGAGTGGCGCCTCTCTCAATTTCTGATCAATGATTTTTTTTTACCTTCCTCAGACTGGGTCTATGGAATGAAGCATGCCGTCTTGTGACTTCCTTTCCTCTAGATAATTCAGCAGATTTAACACTCTCCTCTGGTCTGCATTCCTTCTGCTTTGTAGGAGCAAATAATTTTTGGACATCTTCTTCATTGTTATCTTCTATACGATTCCACTCTAAACAAGACACAAATTTGAAATACTCCAACTCTAAAAACAATAAGATCCAAAATAAAGTGAGGATATTTAAGAGTTACACATAAGAAAAATAATTCTTCTAACTTAGTCTTTGGGTAACCATACCTCTGGTGAAAGAACCCTGTCTTGATTTGTCGGAAAGCTGCCCATCACCTGTAGAGGAAGGACATCTGCTAAATCTTGATGATATGGAATGATATGTTTCAGGTTTCTAGAGCACAAGCAAAAAAGAAACAAAAGGGTCACACTTTAAAAGACCTTAAATTCCTTAAATAGTTTCAGGCAGTAGGAGAGAAGAAAACAAATGGAAAATTGATTTTTCTATAAAAAAATTTTAAACCAGAAATATAAAGAAAATCACATGGCACATGCTTTTCTGATAGCATTGGAGTTTTCCAGTTCTACTGCTACCCAGAAACTGGCACTGTTGCATGTAAAATATTGTTGTCATTCACTTCTGAAGTATTCGCTTTGTGTGTGCTATTTAATGGCTTTATTTGGAAACCACTTCAATCAGCATTTCCACAATCTATATATGAGAATCTCTGGACTTCGGATTTGGACATGTTCCCCAAACATAAAGGTATGAGTGGGAAACAATCAAGACCGCTGATCAAACCTCTTGAAATAAAATAAGATTCATTAATGATTGGTGACAGCTTTTGATCCACCTGACACAGTTTCGGGATACAACTTCTGCGCATTGCACCGGGCCACCCAGGACCCTCAGAGTTTCTAAAATAAAATTTTCAGATAGAACTACCAAACCACCCGTTCTAAACTTGACTTGGGCCCCAAAATCAAGCACTGATCTTAAAAAGTGTCTAAATAGTGTGTGAATGCTAACCCTAACCCTACCTGGGGTGTCAAGAGAGCATTTCCGCGATCAATATCTGAGCCTCTCTGGACTTCGGATTTTGACATGTTCCCCAAACAAAAAAGTTATGAGTGGGAAACAATCAAGACTGCTGATGAAAGCTCTTGATATTAAATGAGACTCAATAAAAGTTGGTGACAGATTTTGATCCCACCAACTCAGTTTCAAGAAACAACTACCACACGGTGAAATGCATCACCCAGGACCCTCAAGAGTTTCTGGAAAAAAAAAATAATTCAGATAGAACTACCAAACCAACCTTTCTAAATTTGACTTGGGCCTCAAAATCAAGCACTGAGCTTAAAAAGTATCTAAATAGTGTGTGAATGCTAACACTAACCCTACCTGGGGTGTCAAGTGAGCATTTCCGCGATCAATATCTGAGCCTCACTGGACTTCGGATTTTGACGTTTCCCAAACATAAAGGTATGAGTGGGAAACAATCAAGACTGCTGATCAAACCTCAATTAAATGAGATTCAATAATGCTTGGTGACAGCTTTTGAATCACTAGAGTCAGTTTCGGGATACAACTACTGTACCACAGGACCCTCAGAGTTTCTGAAAAAAAAATTCAGATAGAACTACCAAACCACCTGTTCTAAACTTGCCTTGTTTTGTTTGCTACAAAATCAAGCACTGAACTTAAAAAGTGTCTAAATAGTGCGTGAATGCTCATTTGACACCCCTGAAAATTAAAAATCATAGGACTAAAGAAAAACTAAACAGAAAGGACTACAAAGAAACTTGTGACTAAGCTAGGTAAGGAAGAAAGCTTATGTGGAAATATAACAATTCTTCTTTATATGACATAAGGACCATATAAACACAAAGAGCAGTTAAGTCTGCAATGGCCTCAGACATCAAAATCTTTGAAAAAAATATATGGTTTACAGAACTCAGAAAAGAACAACTGGGAACATTTCCGTTTAGTTATTATAAAATATAAGCATACATTTTAAGATTTAGTGCATAGACTAAGTGAAATTATTTTGTAGTTGTGTTACATTTTGTTTGTTGGTACACTACATTTAATTGTGTTAAAGTGTATATACTTCTCAAAACTCAACAGTGTTACAGTACTGTATTTGAATGGTTTAATAATTGCCCTCCTACTTCTCTATAATCAATTATTCATGCTTATAAAATGTATATTGCAGTATATGTATTTATTGTAGAAATTATACAGTGTGGATAAACGGTGTACAGTATACATAAATATATTAGAGGAGGAAAGCACATGTATATTTTTTAGTATGGGCTAACTTTCTTACACAAGTATTTTAATGTATATTGTATTGTGCTACTCCAAAATTGTTTAACCCTTAGGTATACATCTTCTGAATCTGGAAAAATATGAAAAGCAGATGTACACTGTATTTCATTATGCAATGGACACATATAATTGATCTGATAGTAATATTGTATGATATGCATTTTTAGGTTGGATTCAAAGTTTGCAAAACTTCACAAACTGACAAATACTAAGTTTAGATTTTGTTCCAAAAGTACAATTTTATATAAAAAAAATAATTCTCATCAAAGGAAATTTGGGGATTATTCTGTCATCCAATCATTGGGATAAAATTTGCTTGAGAAAAACAATTCAGTCCTTTTGCCATGATTTAGCTCAAGAACATGTTGAGCTCAATGTGACTCAAGGAACAAAGCTGACTATTACCAGCCTAAAATATTTCTCTCAGTTTTACTTTCAGGTCAATATTAATAAACCCATTAATACAAAATCTGCTAGATGAAAAGGGCAAAAAAAGGCAAAAGCCAAAACTGTTCATATTTATCAGATCTCACACAAATTGACAATAACTGCACAGCCAATAGCAAAATAAGGCACCTGAGGACTGGAGCTCCTGGAGTTTTGTTTTCCTTCAGATGATGATGCTCTGCTGGTCATTTCAGCAGATAAGGGTATGGAGACTGATGACGTAGGTGGCCTGCTTGGTGATTTCTCACTTCCACCTACACTGTCTTCTTCAGTATTACTGCTGCCTCTGTGACTTCTCTGCCTTGGCCGAGGCTTAGGAATTTCATCATCAAGGATACCTATAAGACGAACACCAAGAAATAGTCATTGAACATTGAGCCAGACATCACATTATAAAATAAAATATATATATATATAATATTTCGCTTTAGGCACTCTTTTGGCCAGTTTTCACATTATTTCTTCCATCTCTGAAATGACACAAATGACACATTTAAAAAAGCCAGCCAGAATTTTCTTATTCAAAATTATTCAAAAATAATTTACCACATCTAATTTGCAGTTGAATTTAAGAATCCCCATCCATTTTCACACATATACAGCACTGAGATACCTAACTGCATTTGAAAACTGTAAATCCTTTATATTTCTATTTCCTTTTATGATATCGTAAGCCGCAATGGATTTTGTTGTAGTGCCACTGTGTGTACCACACATGAAAAAATATACAAAATATTGCTCACTACAAGTGACTGATGCCCCACTGAATGATGTGGGCACAAAGGTTTAAAAGTATGCAACAACAAAGCATGAGGTACAATGAGTTACAACTTTATTATGCCTAAGGCTTTTCTTTAAACAGTGGGCCAAATATTACAGCTGTGAAGATCCTAGTAAGATTCTTTAGAGTGCATTGTTCCAGTGGATGGAAACCCCAACATTTTTTACTGTTCTTAAAAAATGGCATAAGATCTTACACTTAACACTAAAAAGGGCTAAGCTTTTGAAAACGTACAGTACTTTACTACAGTACCTGAGGAAGGTGTGTGTTTCAGATTGCTTTCTCTGAGTTGTGGGGTAGGTTTTTCTTCATTTTCTCTGCTCAAATTTGCAGTCATTCCTGATGGCTGTGACAGAGTAGATTCCCTGTGACTTCTTTCTGTTGGCACCAATGTTTTAGACTCTTGACAAGTAGTTTCTGTTTGAAGAGATGGTGAGGACTCAGGATGGCCACACTCTTCCTCTCTTTTAACTTCTGCCCCATTTTTTACTTCAATGTCCGAATCCTCTTCTTTTGTGGGGAAACTTTTTCTTCTTGTTTTCAAAAATGACACTCTCTTGGGCCTCACATTTTCTTCTTCATCATCTGAGAGCTTAAAATCATTTATTTTATGTTTCTTTTTCCCTATTTTGGACCTTTCACTCTTTGTTTTTTTGGACTTAAGCAATTCTTTAAAGATATCTGAAAAAGAGTAGTCAGTTATAGTTTAAGATAAAAAATAAATCACAGTATGAGCTGTTCAAAAATGCTTAAAACATTTTTAAATTGTTTTTAAAAAGTAATACGCAAAGAAATGGGCTTGAATGTCAAACCATAAAGCGCAACTATTCAACGACATAAATTGTTTGAAGTATAAATATTTCCAACATGAAACAAAAAGTGTAGAAGACAGTATCAGGAAAAATCATCTGGGAGTTCTGAGCCAGCTTCAATCTCAGAACAAAAAGCTAATTAAAGAACAAAAAGCAAAAATTAAATGTGTACTGGTATTTATGGTTTTATGGTATGCAGATTTCTAAACTATAAAAAAAGATTATCAAAATAACTACTAAGTCTTCACTTGACTGCACAGCAAGTAAAAGACTTATCCACAAAAGGAAACAGTAATAGGTATGCAAAGGAACAAGTAATAGGTTTATTCCATGCCATCTTTTCAGCATGGAATAAGCCTATTACTTGTTCCTTTGCAGCCTACGCATGCTGATGCAGCTACCCACATGAACAGTTATAGTTATGCTTTTATTAAATGTAAGCCATTATGAAGTAGCAGCACAAAGACTGCTTATTAACTGGTTAATTTTGATCTAAACTCTAAATGGTAAACTCTGCTTTCTTCCATAATATATATTTCCAACAAACTACTCACAAAACTACCTCACCATTTTCACTTATGCTTATTTATAATTTTTAAAGTTATACAATTTTTCAGTATTTCTATCATGCTGTAAAATGTCCCCTGGAAAATAGGACAACACTTTTTTGAGAGAATTTTTAAACATCTTTACAGTGACTGACAGAAAAGAAAATTAATTAAAATTAAGTATTAATTACTTTTATTTTATTTTTTATGTTGCAAAGTCAATCCTACAATATACAAAATGGAGACCATTAAAACTAAACCATTTTTTTAGCTTGGTTCACAAAATAAAAACTGTATTGCTTTTATAGTCAAACAACATGTATTAAAATGTGCTTAATACATGTTATTTGACAACATGCATTAGTTATGTTTGACTTGTAGTGGAAGAATGCATTTAAAACACAAAGTGTTAGGTTTTTTGCCATTAAAGACAATAGACAGGAAAGAATATCTACACTGCCTTAAATTTCCAATCATCGATAATCTGCAAACTAAACTGTCATAAAATGTTGTTTTTGAAAATGTTCAGACATTTATCTTCTAAAAACACTGTGATAAATCTAATCCTATCCCTTGATACTAAATGGTCAAAATACGTGACTATGAGGTCTATAAGCTTGATAAGAAGCTTTAATTACCATCATCATCAGCATCATCTTCAAAGTCATCTGAGTAATTATTCATATATTCAGAATTATATTTTGCTGTTCTTGCAGAAATAGCTGCTTGCAACTCATCCTGAAATCAAAGACATGGTTTTCTTATAAATGCATTGTTATCTAGCGCAGGCAAGACAGAATATTTAAATAAACACATGCACGGCATACTTAGTAACCAATGTTGTATTTGAAAAACAAATCAATGCAGTAAAAGCTTGATCTAAGAATTTTAATGTAGACTAGCATTGTGGTTATACTTGACAATGGCAACACATGGATTACCCATTAAACAATCTACATACTGCACTGTATATATGTTTTTCACCAAGGTGCTATATTACTGAAATTGTAAATGTACAGGAACTGAAGCAATGAAGCACTGTCATTACAGTACACTTTTTAAACTAGAATTGAATTATTTACAGAGGTTGGTCTAGCTTCATACCTGGAAAGTTGTTCTTTTTGAAACTCTGGGACTTTTAGAATATGCTAACGTTGTGCTGAAATGATCTTCAGACATTTCTGTGAGGGGGGAGAAAAAAGTGAAGCGGGCGCATAAATACAAAATAAATACAAGGACAAAACGCTGTAAAGCCAAGGTACAAGGTACCTCACGTAGGAAAAGGAGAACGTCAAACACCGATTAATTACAGTACATCTTTAAGATTTTACTTCCTGGAATTGTATAAAAATATATCCTAGCTTATCAAAGCGCACTTAATGTGGATATTACTAACCATACACAAACCACGGAGATACTATTGTTTGTTGTATATTAAAATCTATGAATTATCTATCAGATCAATTTTAAGTACACCATTTAGAAAAGAATCAGAAAACATTTAACTACTAATTATTTAGTTTGGTATAATGTAACTTTAAGAACATCCATTAACATTATGTATGTGCCTAATGTTTCTTTACTTATACTTACCAGATTTTCGCTCAAGGTATATTATTATTCAAAAATGAAATTTACATTTTTCCGCAGAACGAATCAAAAGTTAAGCAAATTAAAAAAGTTGAAATTCATCTGGTTAGAGATGTAACATTTCACAATATGCAGCAATATGAGGCGGTCTGTTTCTAGGAGACAGAAAACAACGGAAATTGTCATGAAACTGAAAGTCATTTCCGGGATCTACGACGTATTTCTTCCCCGGTTTCCATCAATTCTATTATTTGTTGGTATTAGAAGCAAGAGATATTTTTCAGTATTCTGAATATTTATGACAAAACACAATAAGACATGACAAAGACCTATAGTACTTATTTTTCCAGATTGACACAGCAGGAAAATAAGTAATTCATTAAAAATCACGATGTCATTAATACTACAAATCACATAGATTTGCAACTACGTTTTACCTGTAGGATCCTTATTATCGCTGTTAACTACAGTTATAGCCAAAATGGATTTGAATTTAGTCTTTCATAATTTGTAATTTTCC